TTGATGTTGTTACCACTCCGTTGATAGTTGCTTGCACACCGGTCCTGTGCACTCGGACCGATGTCTACCCTGGAGCGCCGGCTGTCATGTACTGCTGTACTTGCCTTCACAAATTCAAATACAGAAATCCCGCTAAACATGATCTACGCGTTTTGCCTGTTAGATCAGGCTTTTTCAAGATAGAGTGTTTTTAGGATTAAGGCTAGATATATATACACCATCTAATTATATTTCTCAGGTGTATAACATATTCTTAATTGTCTACTCATATGAGACTTAAAAAAATACATATGATCAGCGTAATTTTGCACAATAAATTCATTGATGACTAAATAGTAAACTCCATATATTCTCGTTCATAGCGGAACTCTTATTTCTAGCTTTTATTTGGCTTATAGGTTAAACAGCTTTTTTTAAAGGATGATTGTTTTTGAATATCTAGAATTACTTAATCTATTACAAAGCCCGTTCTCATAGTAATTTAAATGAACATCAGGAAGGTCGCTTTTGTAGTTGTTCCAATGCTTTTAACCCTTCATATGCCAACTCTTTATCTTACATTTTCGTTTGGAGTAATTGAATTATAGGTGCTTGTTATTTCACAAGAATACACCAAGTTAAGACTGAAATATAGGTACTACTACGATCTTGTACAGTACCTATCACATAAAGAGGTAATGACATAAATTACAAATGGAAAATTCATCAATTACAGTCATTATAACAAGAAGGATCGCAAAAAAATAATTAAACTGACAAATTATGATAAAACAGTGATATTAAAAAAATATTGAACAGAAATATATATTTTTTTCCACTTCATTGTGAACTCCTATGTTTCATGTTAAATTCCATAGGCAAAAAACATATCCATGTCCTAATCATATAGAATGGACATAAAAACAAAAAGAAAATGAACATAAAATGAAGTTAAAAAGAAGATAGAGACATTATCTCAATGAATATCTTCTCTCCATTTAAAGACATGCCCACATACAACTTGTGGGTTTATTTGGAAATATAAAACAGATTTCTAAATAGATTCTGGTCTATTCTGGATAATCAGCTAAAAAAGAATACATAACTACAAATACCTATCCAAAAACTTCCATGGTTAATAACAAAAGAATGCTAAAAAATGCTGGTTGTTACAGTAACCCCCATGCTAGCTGGAAGCTGGACCACTTGGATGGTCTGGATCCCAAAGGCAGAGAAGGAGGAGAGTCGCTTTGGTAGTTTTTCCATACAAATCCTGTAAATGTAGAGCAATCCCACTAGCTATCATGTAGCTAGGATACCCTTTTGACCACAAAACGAGTCGAGGCTGTGATTTGAAGGTAAAGCAAGAACTGGCTTTAATGACACACAGGGGACCATATTTACGCAAAATCTCAGGCCCAGGGACAGCCCCCTCTGGACCTGATGGGATACAGGGACAATACAAGTGAAGGACCAATAGAAATGCAATGCATCGTTTGAAATCGTCACCGCCCAGCTTGGAGATAATGAATCCAACGGTTATTACAATACAATTATCTCCAAGCGCCCAAAACCCCACGTGTTTTTGCCACATAGAAAACAGAATAAAAATACATAATTCAAACAGTTTTATACATAATTCATGTCTTCCACCATTCATTAAATATCCCCGGTTGAGGTGAAACAGTTAACCGAAGAGAGCGCAGAACCCACGAATCGTATGCTGGATTTCCTCGAAACAAAGTCTGTTTGTGTCTTTGGGTTCTGAGCGTGTGATGGCGGCCATGTTTTGAGGTAGACTACTAGGCCGCGGGACTTCACTCTCAAACTTGTGGAACAGGAACCAGCTAGAAGTCTGCACGAATCCCCGCTCCGTCACTGTATGTCTCCGTTGTTCGGGAGGCAAATGAAGGCCGCCGGGAGGGGGTATCTAACCTGCGGTTAACCGCAGAAACCAACATTCTAATTGGAGCCACACGCCAGGCTGTAGGTGGCCCTTGTTTGGTACCTGTTCGGTAGTTAGATTATCGGGCAATGGGGCACGAACGTGAATGCCGTGCTGCCGTCAATTAGGTTGCGGTTAACCACAGACCGCAACTCTCTGGGGGCGATTAAGTGGAGGCACACTCCGCTCGTAGGGTGGTCGGCCGTTCGGTTGTTCCAGGGGTGACCGAGGTTAATTAACGGCACACGCCAAAATCTTGGTGGTCTGTCATTCGTATAACGAATAGACAGCGGGCCCGTAGTTCGGGAATTAGGTACCAAATCCCAGTACTGTAGTCAAACTCTGGGTGAAAGGCAACAATGAATAACATTCGCTTCTGAGTTGTAGCAACTCAATAATAGTAACCAATAGTTTGTAACAGTGCTCCCTCTTTGTGGAACACTCTGGCAGACACCGTCTGACCCCTTTTTGGGGTAGCTGTCCAGATGGTGATTACGCTGGGCTGAGGTCTGTTTGCCTGGATAACCCATCGGCATTGCCATTCTATTTTCCAGGTCGGTAGGCAATCGTGAAGTTAAACGGTTGTAGAGATAAGCTCCACCTTCACCTAACAGTCTGCCATTGTCTCCCGAGACATGGTTTAACCACACCAACGGGTTATGATCAGTAACCAGCGAAAACTCTTGTCCATATAAAAAGGGAGTCAATTTCTTTAGTGTCCACACCAGGGCCAAACACTCCTTTTCTACCGCGGCGTAGCTGACTTTGCGTGGTAGGAGCTTTCGGCTGATGTAGGCAATCGGGTGCTCCCCTCCATCTTCACTTACTTGTCTGAGGACGGCCGCCAGCCCGAACATTGAAGCGTCTATATGGACAATAAAATGTTTGTTAGGGGCTGGGGCTGCCAAGACAGGAGCGTTAACAAGTGCAGTCTTAAGAGCCTGAAAAACAGTTTCACAGTGGGGAGACCACACGACCTGTCTGGGTAAGTTTTTCTTGGCCAGTGTGACGAGAGCAATCTCGCCACATTCCATTGGAGAAGCCTGGTTGCTCACCTGCTGCCTTTGGACTATGGCCCCCGTGTTAAAAGACTTTGTTTCGCCTGCAGAAAAGCTTTATTCGTGCTTTTCTCCCGGGTGTTCAGTAGATTCAATCTACCGAACAACCGCACGAATGAATAGACCACCTGGGAGCTGGAGTGTGCCGGCAATTAACCTCCCTGAAGCTGCGGTTAACCTCAGCTTAATTGATGAATGCTGGGTGGCCGCCATTCGTATCCCGAACACGAGGTCGTGGCCATTTTAACCCCTTAAGGACACAGCTTCAGAAGCTTGACTTACGCTTAATGACACAAGCAATTTTTGCATTTTCTTGCTGTTTGCGTTCAACTGCAATTTGCATCTCTCTCATTTATTGCACCGACACATATTATATACTGTTTTTAAAGGACAGAAAGGGCTTTAATTTGATATAACATATATATATATATATATGCTTACTTATTATAAAAAAAATACAGAAAAATGCAAAAAAAATGAAAAATATTGTTTTTTTTTACAGTTTTTGCAATAATAATGTGTGCATAATTAGTGCAGGTTAAGGAAAGTAATTAAAAATAAATTTATTTATTTGTTCTGATTTACAGAATATATAATGTGTCTGGGATTTTAAGTTTTTTTTGGTAGTTACAGGTCACAAAGCACAAGGAGTAAAATAAAATTTTAATGTGGAGCGATTTTAGAATTTGGTATGTTTGTCTTGTAAGCTTAATAGCCATAAAAGAAAACAAAATTGCCACACAAAAGTATATATTTATATAAAGTAGACATCACGGGCTATTTACCTAAGGTTGTTTTGACACTTTCTACGTAGCCATTTCACCGCCAACCTCTGCTAAATATTGGAGTAAAATTGTGTTCTTTTTGGTTTTTGGCACACAAACTTATAACAGAGAAATTCTCGTGTATATTTTGTAAAGTTGGTGTGTGCTATTCCTGTACAAAGTTTTATTTTGTGTTCAGTTACATCTGCTGAGTAAAATGACACCCCCATTGTATATCTTTTGCACTATTTCGTGAAGTTACAGTGCCATACAGGATACCTGTCCTTTTCAGTATTCACAGTAGAATTTTGAGAGATGAATTTAATGAGCCTTAGCTTCCATTTGGGGTATTATAACAGTTTGACTGTTCAAAAAAAACCCCACAAAGGCCTACCATTTGTAAAAGTAGACACTCCAGGGTATCTTATAAGGTGCATATTGTGCCTTAACATGCCCCCATTTTTTCACCAATATATGCCAAAGTATGTGGTAAAAAAAATTTTGTGCATTTTTTACATACGGATTGCATTTTTGCTGGGCGTTTTGTATATTTCATATGTGCCACTAAGTTCAAACCCCCCAAATTATGCTCAGCTAAGTCTTCTGAGTAAAATGACACCCCATATGAATGTCTTTGGCACTATTTCGTGAAGCTACAGTGCCATATAGGAGACCTGTCCTTTACAGTATTCACAGTAGAATTTTGAGAGATGGATTTAATGAGCCTTAGCTTCCATTTGGGGTATTATAACAGTTTGACTGTTCAAAAAACCCCCACAAAGGCCTACCATTTGTAAAAGTAGACACTCCAGGGTATCTCATAAGGTGCATATTGTGCCTTAACATACCCCCATTTTTTCACCAATATATGCCAAAGTATGTGGTAAAAAAATTATTTTGTGCATTTTTTACATACGGATTGCATTTTTGCTGGGCGTTTTGTATATTTCATATGTGCCACTAAGTTCAAACCTCCCAAATTATGCTCAGCTAAGTCTTTTGAGTAAAAATACACCCCCAATGAATGTCTTTGTCACTATTTTGTGAAGCTACAGTGCCATATAGGAGACCAAGCCATATCCGTTTTTACCAAACTTTGAATTTTGACGCTGGGCCTATGTGCAATTTCCAAGCATCTTCGCAGGTTTTAAATTCAATCTACCCCACAAAGGCCTACCATTTCTTAAAGTAGACACCCCAGGGTGTTTCAAAAGGTATAGTTTGAACCTTAGCGTGGGATCATTTTTCCGCTAGCTTGTACCAGATGTAGTGGTAATAAGCATTTTTTCTGCCTTTTTGACATACAAAGTGAGTTTGCACAGTATATTTTGCAAACCTTATGTGTGCTACGACTATATAATACTTCATATGTTGCTCAGCTATGTCGGCTGAGTACAGCAATACCCCCGTATGTACCTTTGCCAGGTATGTGTGGACATCGGAGGGGCACATTTGGGACACAGCCATTCCAGTTTTTTTCAAACTTTGAATTTTTATGCTGTGCCTATGTCCCATTTTAGAGTATTTTACCAGGCTATATAATCCAAATTCCCCATAAAGCCATACCATTTCTTAAAGAAGACATCCCAGGGTATTTCAAAAGGCATATTTTGAACCTTAGCGTGGGATCATTTTTCCGCTAGCTTGTACCAAGTGTAGTGGTAATAAGCATTTTTTCTGCCTTTTTGACATACAAAGTGAGTTTGCGCAGCATATTTTGCAAACCTTATGTGTGCTATGACTGTATAATACTTCATATGTTGCTCAGCTATGTCGGCTGAGTACAGCAATACCCCCGTATGTACCTTTGCCAGGTATATGTGGATGTTGAAGGGGCGCATTTGAGACGCAGCCATTCAGTTTTTTTCTAACTTTGAAGTTTTACGCTGTGTCCATGTTCCAATTTGGAATAGTTTAGACGGTTGGTTATTGAAACTTCCCCACAAACACATACTATTTATTAAAGAATACACCCTGGGGTAATTCAAAAGGCATATTTTGAACCTTGGCGTGGGATAATTTTTTCTCTAGTTTGTTCCAGGTGTAGTGGTAATGAGCGTTTTTAAAATGTATTTTTTTACTTTTTATAACTTTTTTACTTTTAAAAACTAGTTTTTAAACTTTTGTTTTGCTTATAAATTTTTTTTAAACTTTCCTAAACTTTCTTAAAACTTTTTTACAGATTTAACATTTTTCTAAGCTATTTTTTTTACTGTTAACCCCTAACTAGCAGTACGCAGCACTAACAGTAAATTCCCCATTTTCCCATAACTCCCACCCACCCCAGCTAGCAAAATATATAGTTATAAAATATTTAAATTAATTAATTAAATAAATTGAACCCCTGAGGGTTAAAAAAAATAAATAAAAGTTAATCCTCAGGGGTTAAAAAAAATTAGATCACAGTATAATACTGTGATCTCTATTTGATCGCTGTAGGCAGTGATCGACTGGCAGGGAAGGGGTTAATTTTTATTTGGACTAGGTAAAGTGTGTTTTTTTTGTTTTTATTACTTAAATGTTATTAAAACTTTTTTTAAGCTTAATTTTTAACTTTTTAAAGTTTCTTTTAAAACTTTTTTTTAACGTTAACCCCTAGTTAGCCTAACGTCAAATCCCCCAATTCCCCACTAACTTCCACCTACCCCAGCTATCTAAATATATAATTTAAAAATAATTTAATTAATTAATTTAATTAATTTAACCCCTGAGGGTTAAAAAAAATTTTTTTTTAACCCTCAGGGTTAAAAAAAAAAATCAGATCATAGTAAAATGTAATCCCTGCCAATTGATCACTGTAGTCAGTGATCAATTGGCAGGGAAGGGGTTAATTTTTTATTAAAATGGGTAAGGGGGGGGACACTTTAAATGAACTTTATTTTTTTTAACAGCAGGGGGCAGGATCAGCACTGATCCGGCTCCCTGCACTTCACACAGAACCCGGAAGTGCAGGGAGCCGGTAGGTGAGTATACAGAGCACATGTGCTCGCTCAGACTTGTGGTCAGAGCGAGCACATGTGCTGGGCAGCTTGACCGGGTGCTCCCGGTATGCCTCCAATGCAGAGGCATACCGGGAGCACCATTAACCCCGCGATCGCCGCGATAGCGGCGATCCGGGGTTAATTTTACTGCGTGACGGACGAGGTCCGTCACCCGTCGTTAAGGGTCTCCCCTGTGTGACGGACCTCGTCCGTCACCCGTCCTGAAGGGGTTAAACATACGAATGCACAGCGGTGTTCGACGCTTAATTCATGGAACTAAAATTGGACGCAGTTTTGCGCGACCACTGAAGCCACCGACCTCCCTTCTTGTTCGGTGGAAGTACACGAACGGCCGGTGTTCAGTAGTTTTACTTGTCCATGTTATACCCCAGATAGGAATCCCATGGAGCCCATTCGCATGAAACTGACTGTGTAAAGACTTTAGCTCCATGGCGATTAAACTGTATTCGTGTGGTCTTAGCACCATTCCCTTAATAATGTGCGCTCAGACCTGAGCTATCTGGGGACATGTTAAATGTATAGTTTTATTGTAATGTGTCTCACATAGTGTATTTTAACAGTAATTCATGTTTTAGTATCCCCACGTGCATAATGGTGATTTGCCTTTGTCTTGGGAGATAATTGAATTACTTCTCAATTATCTCCAAGGCAGAGGGGAGGAAGCCAGGATGCATTGTGGGAATACAATGTGACTGTGTGTCCTGTTTGGCTGATTACCTGTCTTTTGTCACAGTCTCCCATTTGGTCCCCTAGGGGAGTGTCCACCAGGTGGGAGACCTGCATAAATACTGGGCAGGTAGCCCTCATTAAACAGACCACTACTTGACCCACAACACGGAGCCTTGTCTCGTCTTTGGGGGGATTTACTGAATGCTGATAGAGACCGATTGCTAGGAGTGTAAGCTGCTTGGATGCTTTTCCTATTCGTCTGCTAGCAGCGATTCGTATGGTTCCTGTTCGTGTGTTTGGAGTGCTATATTGGATGCCGTTCGGGAGTTTGGAGCATTCACTTATTGGCGGTTTGTCTGTTTGGTGTTCTACAATAGCTGTGCCTGCATCTCTGGAAAGGGGGACGATCGCCTAAACGGTTTTTACCCCTTGTGTGCAAAATGGTCCGTTACAGTCAGGTCAGTCAATGGTTTGGCAATTGTGCTGTAGTCCGGTACAACCCGTCTGTAATACCCGGCTGTGCCCAAGGAGGCTAGGGCCTGAGTCTTAGTGGTGGGAGTGGGCCAGTTGACTACGGCTTCTATCTTGGCTGATTCTGATCGCTGATTCCCACACCCTACTCTGTGTCCTAGGTACTGGACCTCGGCCATCCTAAAATGGCATTTTTCTGGTTTCAGTGCCAGGCCCGCAGCCTGGACCTGATCCACCACCATGCCTACGTGAGCCAACAGGACTCACTGTGGATCTCTATGTCGTCCAGGTATGCACACGCAAAACTCTGGAAGCCATCCAGGTGTCTATCCACCAAGCGCTGAAATGTAGCTGGGGTATTTTTCATCCCGAACGGCATCACCTTAAAGTGGTCTAAGCCGAATGGGGTGACAAATCCCAACTTGGGGATAGCGTTCTGGGCCAGAGGGATTTGCCAATAACCTTTGCAGAGGTCACAAGTAGTCAAATAGTTTCCCCTGGCGATATGATCAAGTAGCTCGTCTACCCTGGGCATAGGATAATCCACACATTGAGCTTCCGATAATCCACACAGAATCGGGTAGTCCCATCTTTCTTGGGTACTAGGACTACTGGGGAAGCCCATGGACTATCGGAAGGCTCAATAACCCTTAGCTGAAGCATTTCATTGATCTCCTTATTCATTTCTGTCTTAACGGCCTCTGGGATCCGATAGGGGGCCTGTCTTAGGGGAAATTGTCCCGGAGTATCTACCTGGTGGGTGGTTAGGGTAGTGTACTCAGGTTTTTGGGAGAAAGTGAAATTTTTAGCTTAAAGCAGTTGGTTAAGTTGCTCCCTCTCAGTGATACTAAGTCGATCCCCTACCTTGACCTGAGTTATTATATCTGAGTGGGGCCCTCGTTCTAGTAGGTCGGGGATCGGTAGGCTGTCTGGATCTTAATGGGGTGGGCATCAGACTGCTGTCACATTTTCCTGTGCTCTCGGATCAGGTTTAGGGGTCCCCGTACCTTGCGGCCATAGAGCAGCTGGAAGGGAGAGAATCCTGTCGTTTCCAGGGGCACCTCCCGATAAGCGAGCAGGAGGTGGGGTAGGAAGCGTTCCCAGTCTCTATACTCCTGGGTGAAGGTTTTGAGGTTTTGAGCATTTGTTTAAGGATCCCGTTGAACCTTTCACAAAGCCCGTTCATCTGAGGGTGGTAGGGGGAGCTTAGAAGT